TTCATAGCTCCCGAGAGTGGATTTTGTACAGCACCCTGGATCCCCTACAATGGCCACTGCTTTTACCTTTATCGTAATGAAACAAAAAAATGGTCTGATGCTCAGAAAGCTTGCGGTAAAGAAGGAGGAGACCTAGTAAGCATTCGTAATGTGGAGGACCAAAGCTTCATCATCTCTCAACTTGGATATGGTATGGCAATAAAAACTTCTGAGCACCATTTGCATTGCTTCAACATAATCTTCACACAAGACTTCATATCCATCTTGTTAGTAATTTCCCCACACGTCTGCCCTTTTAAAATGAAATATTTTTGAGGCACGATCTAATATGATTATGTTGGTATGTTTCTGGATCAACCAAAGTAATGTTTGTCCAGGTTTAACGTTGCTTGTTATCAATCACATTGCAGTGATGTCATAGTGTTGCGATGTGGAAACACCATCACATCGCACACCAAACTCTAATCCTAACCCCATTACCCAAACCACGATCACATACTGATGCCCAACTCTAATCCTAACCACTCCCTTTTCTTTTCCAAGTTGAAAAGCTATGACATCATAACAATGTGATTGGTCAGTTGCAATTTCAGTCCTGGACCAATATTATTATGTTGATCCAGAAACAACACCAACATAAGTTATTGCTAAAGTTCCAGGAAGTTTTCAGCTTGTGTTTAAGTCATAAGAAGTTGCCTCTCCTTAATTTTCCAAATGTCTAAGTTGGGTTGAACATCACACTCAAAAGTTAAAGACACACCAAACCCAGATATTAATGAACATCTTATAGCTACACACTTCATAAGAATGTGAGCAATCTTTTCCTAGGAAAGGGGTCTACTGCTGTAGTTTCAATGTACAACTCTTAAGAAAATGCAGTTCTCTGACAACAGGTAATAGTCATTTCTCAGCCAACAGGTAGACTTCCTCTTTATAATAATGACCATTTGTCAGTTGTTAGTTTTTGGAATCGACTAATAATTTGGCAGGTCTTTATGTCTATCTCTTCATAAGCATTTAATCACTTCCTGTTGTTTTCTGATCCCTGTATCACTGCACATCTCAAATATGATAAAGTTTCCAGCAATTCTGGCAGACAACAATTAGCAACAGTCTAAAATTTAGATGTAAAAGTAACAACTAAAAAGTAGCAAATGAGCAGAATGTATCAAGAAAATTATACAACAATTAATGTTATTTTCTGTCTGCAGCATCCACTGATGAACTCTGGATTGGACTAAATGACAGGAAGAGAGAGAGGCTGTTTGTCTGGAGTGATCATTCTCCTGTGAGTTACACTAGCTGGGACTCTCGGGAACCAACTGTCACCTCTGAACAAGAAGACTGTGTTCTTATCAGAGGGGAGGTAAGGTGCACAGTGTGGGAGTGATTATTGATGATTATGACACACCAGTGTTTTTCTGTAAAACTATGCAGTTCTGTTAAAGAACACTCTCTCTAAACCTATGCAGCTATGTATCACACCTTACTTCACAACATACAGTATACACATATTGGCCAAAATAAATTTCAAAACCTTTGCCACATGTTTAGTCTGGGACCTGTCTTTAAATCTCTTCTATGCACATATGTATATAAGCACATATTTCCACTATATTCTAACAGTGTGAGAAATGTATTGTTTCAACATCATAAACATAAAAAAGGAAACGTTATGCAGGAACTTCTTGTAGGATTGTTATGAAGGCAATTTAAATCAGTTTCACAGCAAAAAGATGATTTTGCACTCTCTGGAAGCTGCCCTGCTACTGCTCAGCCTGCTAGTAGATGAACCTATGGTATGAATTTGAAAGTCCTATGTTACTTCCTCTTTGAGTTATCGCATTCACATGATTTTTGAAACAAACAAAAGAAATACAATAAAAAATAAAAATAAAAACCCAGTCATATCAAAGAGTATGAGGCTTTTGTTTTATGATATGCACCGTAGCCTGTCTATCTCTTGTTAATTTCAGTTTCCACATATATTTTGTTCTTTTCATTCTTGCAGAATGGAAACTGGGCTGACCGTGTGTGTGACGAGAAACATGGCTTTATCTGCATGAAGACAAGTGACTCTGAACCCTCTGGAGATGAAGTGGAGCTGAACGCAGGCTGCAAAACTGTATGTGAACCTTTCATATATTTTCCAAAGAATGTCTGCATCTGGTTGGTCGAATGCACACATTCTGTTATCTGTTTCTGTTTTGTAAAGGCTGTTGTATATTTCAAATGGCACAATGTCTAAAGCTACTTTTGTGCCTGTGTCCAAGAAATGGCTGGGAAACCAGCATACACGTGGGATATGATACCTAATCAAATAAATTGTATTTGGATGTTGTTTATAGGAAAAACAATTAAGAAAAAAAAGCAGGCAGATTCTCTTGATTAAATTAGCACGTGGAGTGAGTGGAGTAAGCTATCTCAGGATAATACAAAGTATTATCAAACTTTAAATTGTACATTTAAAATTTTACCCTAGTCTTAAAGTGTATATTTATTTTTTACTCTTCTTATATTTATTTTTGTGTTTTGCACTGAATGTAACTGGAGTCGTCTCGTCTCGCTATATACTGTTCTGTATATAGCAGAGATGAAAATAAAGTTTACTTTGACTTTGAAGTAGTCACACTGATGCAGAGTGATTCTGCATGTGGGGTCTTTCTTCTTGCTATCACAAAAAGATATGTACACAAAGACAGCATTTAACGACAGGCTTGAATAGTTCCTCAACTGTTGTTTCTCTGCGATGCAGGGTTGGAAAAGACATGGATCCTACTGCTACTTTGTAGGGATTGAGACAAAGACGTTTCATGAAGCCAATGATGACTGCAAGAGCTCAAACTCTTATTTAGCTGACGTTTCAACTGGGTAAAAACAAGTTTTTATGATTCCTAAAATTTTTACCATAAAAAAGGGTAATATACAGTGGTGTAAAAAGTGTTTTCCCCCTTCTGATTTCTCTTGTTAAATCACGAATTAACTGTGATTAACCACATTTTTTGTAAAGTTGTGTTCAGTTTCACTAAACACACTCATGCCTGATTACCGGCAGATCTGTTGAACAAAGAAATCACTTAAATAGAACCTGTCTGACAAAGTGAAGCAGGCTAAAATATCTCAAAAAGCAACACACCATACCACAATCTAAAGAAACATCTGAGAAATAAGTTCACTAACATCTGTCAGTCTGGTAAAGGAAAAAGTTTCAAAGCCATTTCTAATCTAATCCATTTCTGATCTAAAACACACCAAAAGTCCACCTTTTAATGGTTTAAGAAAAACAAATTAAAACTTTTGAGTCATGACCTAAATCCAATTCAGATGCTGTGGGATGATGTTAAAAAGATGGTTCATGCTCGAAAACCCTCCAATGTGGCTGAATTACACCAATTCTGCAAAGGCAAGTGGGTGAAAATTCCTCTACAGAGCTGTGAAACACTCATTGCCAGTTATCGCAAAAGCTTGATTGCAGTTGTGTCACGTTCCTGGGTCGGTGACCCAGTGTTTTTGGTTTTGTACTTTTACTTTTGAATTTACGAAGTATGACTGTTTGTTTTGGTTTCTGTCCTAGTATTTCAGCTTTCTAGTGTGGTAGTACTTCCTGAGTTCTTGTTTTTAGGTTTTGTTATTTGGTTTCCCAGTGTTTATTCTGTGCTCCCTCTTCTCTGTGTTCCTTCTGTCTGTCCATGGTGTTATTTTGTCTGCTCATGAGTCTGCGTCTGTTAAATTCTGTGTCTCGTCTGGATCTCTCTGTCTGTCGTGTACTTCCTGTTTACTTTGTAGGTCTGTGCCTTATGTCTGTGGGTTCAGCTTTGTGCTCTCCCTGTCTCGTCAGTGTAATCAGCATCAGCTGTGTCTCCCAGCTGTTTCCTCTTAGCGCTGTTCACCTCTTGTATTTAGTGTCTGCGTCTTCCCTGCTAGTTGTCGTGTTCTACCCTCACTTTCACTCTGTGTTCTGTTTGCCAGCCTGCCCACCTGTTTAGTTTGTTCCGTATTCACAGTTTAGTTAGTTTTTTGTTCAGTTTCTTCCCAGCAATAAAGCTGAGTATTTTGAGTTACTTCTGTCTCTGTGAGTGCTGCATTTTGGGTCCTCTCTTCCTGCCTGCCTGCACAAAGCCATGACAAGTTGTTTCTGCTAAGGGTGGCCCAACTACTTAATAGGGGGCAATCACTTTTTCACACAGTAGGTATGGATTTTTTCTCCTTAATAATAAACACCTTCATGTTAAACTGTATTTTATGTTCACTTGTGTTGTCTTTGCCAAATATTAAAATTTGTTTGATGAGTTGCAACATTTAAGTGAGGGAAAAATATTAAGCAAATCATCAAGGGGATAATCACTTTTTCACACCAATGTATCAAGTTGCAGGCAGTCTGTAATCTAACTTGTGTAAATATTTCCAGGGTGGATAATACTTTCCTTGTAAGCTTGGTGGGGCTGAGGCCAGAGAAACACTTCTGGATAGGTCTCTCAAACCTGAAAAACAGAGAATATTTTATGTGGACCAACAATGCCTATGCGAGATATACTCATTGGAACACTCATATGCCAGGTAATGAAACAATCTCATGATCTACATGTAAACTATAGTTGGCAGGTGTCTTCACAAATGACAGCTAACATTTTCTTTTATAACACAAGGTAACGTGCAGGGTTGTGTTGCTATGGCAACTGGGCATTCTGCTGGCCTTTGGGATGTGTTGCCCTGTACCAATAAGGAAAAATACATCTGTAAACACCTGGCAGAGGGGGCAGCTTTAACCCCAGCTCCACCAACCACTGCCACACCTAACTGCACAGATGGATGGATTAAGATGCAATCCAGAGGCATCTGTTATAAGGTGCAGCATGTCTCTCTCTCTCTCTCTCCCTATGTGTGTGTATATAATTCTATTGAACTTATTCATAATAGGGATGACATAAAAACAGAGATGGCTGCCCAAGTTTAGTATATAGTTTTAAATGTACAAATATTACCAAAGCTTCAGATCACAATTCAGTTTCTTATATTTTGTTTAAGATCTTTCCAGAGGCTTCAGAAAAGAGAAAGACCTGGTACGAGGCTAGAGATTACTGCAGAGCCATTGGAGGAGACCTAGTCAGCATTCACAGCGGTGCTGATTTACTACGGACATACAATAACATCTACAATCATTGGTATAGTGTTTTCTGGTCTACAGTTAGAGCTACATAAGATGAAAATGTTTTGTATAGATTTTTATCATTACAAAAGATTAAAAATACAGTATTTTTTATATATACAATGTAATTAATTACTGATGTAGAAGCCACCCCCATTTTATCCTCAATGATTGTTCAATGATGGTCATATTTTTGCAGACTAGTGCACCATTCCTCCAGAGAGTGCTAAATCAAGTATTAAACTTTGGAACATACATTTGTCCATTATAGGCCTAATCAATACTGGATTGGACTTAGTGCTCCTGACCCAGACACAGGTTATGTATGGAGTGATAGATCCCCGGTGAGTTTACAGTTTTTAACTCTCTACAATGGTTTATGTAGCCTAAATGATGATAACGATCAAGATGATGATTATTAACATTAATAATGTTACAGCTACTATTACAACTGATACAAATACTACTACTATTAATAATTATCTTGTTTTTGTACAAAGGTAAACTTCCAAGACTGGAAAGATGGAGAACCAAACAATAAAAATAACGCTGAATTGTGTGTTGAAGTAGAACGCGTGTATTGGGATAACATTTTGCTTTGGAGTGATGTGCCCTGTGAGAAGTACAATAACTGGATTTGTCAGATCCACGCAGGTAAAGCATGGTCACAGTTCTAAAATTCCTTTGCAACATATTTTTGAACTAGACATTTATTGTTGTCGGCCTCATGTATTCTCACAATGTCAAGCTGGAGGTGGTCACTAGTAATTCAACACTATTTTGTTTTTATACCTTTACAGGAGTCACCCCAAAGCCGGCTCCAGACCCTGTCACCCCTGGTATGTTGAGGAATTTGACCACATTGGCGGTCAGCATCTTTACATGACTTTTGACTTTCTATTATGATTACCAGGCCATGAGGCATACTATGCTGACACGAAACTAATGGATGCTGATTTACTGCATGGCGAATATCTGTGGCCAAACAGTATTATTAATTTTGTTTTTCTTGTAGAATGCCATGTAGAATTATATATGATAACTCATATAATACATTTTTTAATGTAACCCAACAACAAATCCAAAATATAAATAGGAACCTAAAGTTGCTCTTCTGAAGTCTCGTAAGATAATGAGATATTGGTTAAAAAAACAAAAAAACAAAACATCTGTTTACCTGATTGATACAGTATGAGTATAAAACGTACAGTGAAGAAAGTGAACTTAGTGTGAGCATAAGATCAAAAACACACAGATTTATTTACTTAAAAAATTGTTCACTTTAAAATCTGCTCATCAGCTATATTTACAGTGGGGTTTTTTCCTAACATAGTACTAGTTTCCTAAATTCAACCAGAGAACCACACACATGCACATTTCTTATCTATTCTCAGAGTATAACACGACCTCTGATGGGTGGCTAGAATGGAATGGGGCTCAGTATTACATTAATGAAAAGGCGATGGCCATGGAGGACGCTCGTACGTTCTGCAGACAGAGGCATGGTGACCTGGTATCTATCAACAGTGAAGCAGAAAGGATATTTTTATGGAAACAGGTAGGCAATGGCATTTGTAAAAGATTTACCAAGGCAATGGGTAATTAAGGTGTAACTGAACAAACTGAAACTTCCACACAGACAGTTTTACTATGCATCCATGCTTTTTGTGCAGATTTCAACAGGTTATCAGAATTCTTGGATTGGCCTGTCTGTAGATCTTGATGGAACATTTCAGTGAGTATGAATTGATTTAAAAAATTTAAATGCAACAAAATAAACTTAAATTTATGTGACACCATGTTAAAAAATAGAGAGTACTTAGTGCAAGGCAGCATGCCAGATGTACGAGTATACCAGTTTTAATTTCATTTAATCATATCTTGATTGTTTGATATAAAATCTGATGGCTAGTATACAGAGACAAAATTACCTATTAACTACCTAAATACATATTAACTGTAAATTGTGGTTAATTTACATTTCTGTTTGTGATCTTTAACTTACTTTTAATTAATATTTGTAAAATGTATCAGTTACTATTCCAGTTTGCTATCTTTCTTACTAACTTAATTCAGGTACTATAACTAAAACCAAAAAACTGTGACTAAAAGGAAGAAGGCAAAGAGTACTTTTACTTAAACCAGTATGTGACTGTGTTGGTAATATAAGTTTTTACAGACATATTTAAACCATGTGTCTTTTTACATTAAGGTGGATGGATGGTTCTCAAATGGTGTTTCAAAGGTGGGATGAAAATCAACCTGAATTCAAGAACTTTGATGAAAACTGTGCTGTCATGACACATCATAATGGTGAGTGTACCGAAATAATAACAAGAAGAGCCCATAGAGAGTTTTTAGAGCATCTCTACAACTATGTATTCTGATCATGATTCTGCTTACTACATAAACTACAAGAACTGATAGCTGGCTTGTGTGATATCAAAACTGATTAAAGATAGAGTTGATTTGATTTTTTAAAATCTATCATTCGAGTTGATTATATGATTAATTTACTATACTCAAATGGCCTGCAGGATTCTGGCATGACTCCAACTGTGGACTAGAGTATATGTCCTTTTGTAAGCGCAGCAGCTCAACACCCACAAACACCACTGCTGCAGTGCCTACAGTGTCCCCAAAAGGTGGATGTCCACCCCCTTGGAAAAAATTTAACTCTAAGGTCAGATATCTTTCATGTCTTTTAATTTTTCTGTTATTTACTGTTGAAGGGATATGTTCTCAGTGCTTGGAACACTATATTGATCTTTTTCATGTTTCAATTTTAGTGTTACATAATTTTTAAGAATCAGAATTTAACGTGGCAAGATGCAAGGGAAAAATGCAAACAAAAAGGTGGACAATTGGCATCTATTACTTCAAGACAGGTGGAAGGTTTGTTTCATTTTCATTTTACTCAAATATGTATTTAGATCTTGTGAACTTCTCCTCTTATGTGGTCCATTTACTGTCATTGCAGATATCTGTTCTTAGTAGCTAAAATTACCACTGAATTTCTGTTGTTGTGCAGTTCTGGCATACCTACAAGTTAGAACTGATACCACGGTGCACTTTAGCAAGAAAATACAAACATGAATCAATTTTATTGAAAAGTTCCATTTTGGTCTCATCTGACCAGAGCACCTTCTTCCACATGTTTGCTGTGTCCCCCACATAGCTTGTGGCAAACTGCAAACGGGACTTCTTATGGTTTTCTGTTAACAATGGCTTTCTTCTTGCCACTCTTCCATAAAGGCCAACTTTGTGCAGTGCACGACTAATAGCTGTCCTATGGACAGATTCCCCCACCTGAGCTGTAGATCTCTGCGGCTCGTCCAGAGTCACCATGGGCCTCTTGGCTGCATTTCTGATCAGGGCTCGCCTTGTTCGGCCTGTGAGTTTAGGTGGACGGCCTTGTCTTGGTAGGTTTACAGTTGTGCCATACTCCTTCCATTTCTGAGTGATCGCTTGAACAGTGCTCTGTGGGATGTTCAAGGCTTGGGAAATATTTTTGTAGCCTAAGCCTGCTTTAAATTTCTCAATAACTTTATCCCTGACCTGTCTGGTGTGTCCTTTGGATTTCATGGTGTTGTTGCTCCCAATATTCTCTTAGACAACCTCTGAGGCCGTCACAGAGCAGCTGTATTTGTACTGACATTAGATTACACACAGGTGCACTCTATTTAGTCATTAACACTCATCAGGCAATGTCTATGGGCAACTGACTGCACTCAGACCAAAGGGGGCTGAATAATTACACACACCCCACTTTGCAGTTATTTATTTGTAAAAAATGTTTGGAATCATGTATGATTTTCATTCCACTTCTCACGTGTACACCACTCTGTATTGGTCTTTCACATGGAATTCCCATAAAATTGATTCATGTTTGTGGCTGTAATGTGACAAAATGTGGAAAAGTTCAAGGGGGCCGAATACTTTTGCAAGCCACTGTATCTCAACCATAAATCTTTGTCTACATTTTCAGTGTTTCTACTGTCTCAAATGGTTGATGCACCTACTACAGACTTGTGGATTGGTTTATTTCGGTCACAGTGGAAAACTTACTGGACTGATGGACAACCAAAGTCATATACCAATTTGGGTAATAATGTACGTGGGATAATCTAAATATATACATTAAGTAATGAATAATTAAATGAATGAATTATAATAATAAATTATTGTGTTTCTCTTTCTGAGAAAACATTATACTCATTAAAAGTGAACAACCATAACTATATGTGCAACCTCTGTAGGGTCCAGGTATGGCCTCATGCTACCAGTAGTGACACTAACTCTAGTCAATGACAAAACTAGTGAAAAAACAAAGAGAAAGATGAGCAGGGAAAAAAATGTGAGGGTAAACCATTCCCGTTTTGGAGGGTGTCTCACTGTTGCCTCACTAGTGCACCTGTTGATAATGTTATTAACAGCAAATCAGCTGAAACCAATTAACAGCCTTCTCTGCTTATTAAATGATCAGTATCCCAGAACTTACACTGACTCGATGCTATACTTTGTTTAAAAAGTGTTTCTTTAACTTTGAGCAGTGTACTTGCACCATGTAGATACAGAATATAATTACCTATTGTGAAGGGTCAGATACTTAGAAATAATCTATAACTGTATATTCTTGTATAAATATTTAAAATCTCTGTGTTTACATTGCAGCGTTGGTATTGGTACGATCAAACGGTAAGTAGCTTTTAAAACTTATTTGTAAAGTGCAGTGACACTTTATGGCATGACAGTTTACAGTTCTTGTTGTATTTTACAAGTTCTACAGTGACAGAACTACTATTTAATTATTTATCTGTTATTTATATAGCTATATATTATGCAAGGGCACTCAAATGTTTGCATGTTTAAATAAAATAAGAAAGAAAACTTTCCTAATATAATCTGCTCTGATGATTAGACAGTAACCAATAATACAGTATATTGTATGTGGAAGTATATGTAAATTCCCTGTGTCACCACATAGCATCATTCTGTTGACCCAACTCTGTTTCCACAGAAAAACTGTTTTGTGATCAATACCAAGCCTTTGGTTGGTATTGGGAAATGGATTCAAAAGTCATGCAATGACACCAATGGATTTATCTGTCATCGAAATCTTGGTGAGTCCATTTCTAACCCCAGGCCTGTTGCCACCCAACTTCAGCTGCAGCTCCATCAGACTCTCTAAAACAACTAAAAATATGTTTTGACTTTTTTAGTCCTATAATTAATATCTATATCTATAAGTGATATATAAAATCTATGATCAAGAGTATGATTCCACATTGACAAAAGCTGTAATAGTTTTAAGAGTACCGTAGAGAGGTTTGTTATGTAAAAAAAAGTCAATAAATAAAATTGTTTCTATTCTAATCCTCAACAGACACATCTCACCCAGATTCTCCAGAACCAACAATTTCTACTAACTACATCAAAATACTCAATGACTCCATTAAGGTTGTTCCTCAACAAATGAATTGGGATAAAGCTGCAGAGTACTGTAAAAATGACGATGCCCTCCTAGCTAGCCTGAGGAATGAGTGGATGCAAGCTTATGTTGAGCTCATGGCGCTGAATCTCAAGGCTCCTCTTTGGTTTGGATTACACAAAGTGCAGGTAAACTTATAAAAACCTATAAAAAGTACATAGCTCAATAATAGGTCAACCAGTTTGAAACTGACTCTGGTAAAAATTCTAAAACTTACCTATGGGTACAATAAATTGTTCCAACAAAGATTTTATCTAACTAAATAATCTGTGATTATGAGAATGAAATTGTCATTGATGGATAAATATACTGGTCCAGTTATTTATCCACTCATTCAGTTATTTATCCAGCACAATTTTTGCATGATAAATTTGAACTGAGATTGTGATCCATCCTCTTCTTATTATCCAATATAAGGATGTTGGAGGATGGAGCCAGCCTCAGCTGACATTTCTTATTAAAAGTCTAGAGCTAGCTGATGTTGTGATTCCGTTCTAGCTAGAAATGCACCACACAAATGGGATGGTTTTCAGTTTTTTGGCCGCAATAATAGTCCGTTAAAGTAATAGTGACCAGTATTAACCTGTTACCTAATGTCAGCTAAATCTAGCCACCCATTTTGACAATAAATCTTCCAGCATTAGACAAACACATTTGAAGTTACTGTGTGTTTACATTCTGTACTCTCAATCATGGTTGGAAATGGCTGACTGTTATAAAGCACTGGCTAACTTGACTACATTTAAGGAAGGTACCAATAAATGTGATGTAAAGAAGCAGTTGCACATAACACCAACAAACTCAAGAACACTCTTAAATTCGGCATTCATTAAATAAGCAGTGTGGCAGTGCAGCATCCCTGCTCCAGCAGGGAGATTCTCTGTGAGAGGAAGGCATGTTGAGCAACAGCACCTCTTAGAGTAACTGCATGTCTCTTTGGATTCTCCTCCGTGCTCTTGAGACTGAGCTGGGAGACACAGCAAACCTTCTGGAAATGGCACATATTGATGTGCCATCCTGAAGGAGCTGGACTACCTATGCAACCTCTGTAGGATTTTTTTTTAAGCAGTATAGATCACCATGCTAGTTTAATTCAACTGTTTTAACAGAAAGAAATCTCTTTTTATTGACTGTTTTACCCTCCATGCCGTTAAGCTTACTAAGGCAGATATTCCTGAAAGCCAGAAAATATCGGTAACTGCTGTCTCATTAATCTTTGCTTTCAGATCAATGGTTCTTTCAGATATGTTGATGGATGGCATTTAATATTCAGTCGATGGGGTACAAATGAACCAAGAAAGGACAGAAGCTGTGTATACATGGATGTGGATGGAAAATGGAAAACCGCTCACTGTAATGAGACACTAATGAGTGTTTGCATGAAGTCTACAGGTACGACCAAACACACACACAGTTTGAAAGATACTGTTTTGACAACACAGTTTTAAAAGAATGTAATTAATTGATCCCATTGACATTACCTCATTCACAGATGTGCTGCCAACAGAGTCAACCATTTTTCCAGGAGTTTGCCCTCAAGACCCAGAGGCAACAATAGAAAACAAGAACTATATCTGGGTACCATTCAGGGGTTATTGTTATATTTTTATTACAGAGCAAACACACTGGAGAGAAGCATCCACCACCTGTGTAGCACATGGTAGGCAACCTATGTGAAAGACACGTTTATGCAATAAATTGCTGTAGTTTTCATTAACAACTGATTTGTTTTGTTAAGGTGGAATGCTTGCCAGCATTGAAGATTCCTCTGAGCAAAAATTTCTAGAAATTAACCTGAGAACTTTTCAAGATGGCTTCACATCTTTCTGGATTGGCCTGTTTAAAAAACAACACAAAGGTGATTTATTATTTTTGCTATGTTCTTTAAAAATATTATTTTGGGAAAAAAAATTACATTTTTACATCTCTTTTTTTTGTCTATTTGCCTGCAGAGGAATGGCTCTGGGTGGACAGAACAGCCATGGGTTACACTAACTGGGCTGAAGGTCAACCTTTTAATATGAGCTTTGGATCGCGCACAGGAGAGATTAGTACATCAGATGGGACATGGAAGGATATCGAAATATGGGATTATAGACCTTACATCTGCAAGACACCAAAAGGTAAAGTAATCTTTATTTATTGCAGTGTTTTTCTTTTTTTCCTTTTTATAATGCTGATTCAAATCAGTTGTAAGACTTTGACTGCATACATAACACAGTCATATGAATCCAAAAGCTGAAAGAAATACCTCTTGTGGGTCAGAATCTTGAGTGCACAGTCAAAATTAGATCCATTTATAAATGCCTGTTTACTCCACAAGAATCTTGAACAATTTATTTTTTACTTTGAAATGAAGTAGAGCTACTTTTTTTTTATAAAGTATCTTAATTGTTCTTCTTTTTCTTTTGCAGTATTACTACCAACGCCATCACCACCAGCCCGTAAGTAACACCTCTTTTATCTATTTATTTTATGTAAAATTGTTACAAATGTTTTTTTTTAGCTGATTACCATCTACTTTTTCACTCTGTACAGAAACTGGATTACCTCATCATCAGCGTGTCTATATAACCACTGCAGTTGTGTTAGTCATTACTGGGATTGCAGTGGTGGCAGTCACTGCTGTCTTCATCTTTAAGAAATTTGGTCATCAGTTACCCGCCCCTAACACCTTCGATAACCCGCTCTTCTTCAGTAGTAGGGTGTCACAGCCTGAGCAAGCTGACACCAGTATACTAGTAGAGAATGCAGCAGAAGAGAACACTGGAGATTTAATCAGTATGTAATTTAAATATTTTGGGCTCATTTGCATGGCCCATATGATTTCCTAGTATGTTATAAAAATTTGAGCTGAGGTGGCAGCAAGTAGCAAATAATGGCTTACTGGAAAATAAAAGGTGAGAATCATCTCATATTATCATATTCTGTGAATGTAGGTTACATAAATGCTGGCTTTTGTTATTTCAGTTATGGTTAGGATAAAAGGTAGGGTAAATGGAGTTTAATGCATGTCCTAGTCAACAATCATATATGCATGCAGCAACCTGAAATATCAAGACAAATCAGGAAGGATCCATGGTTTCATGTTGCTGAAATCAGATTCTAACCATACCATCCAAATTTCACAACAAGAGCTCAGACTCACCAGACCAGGCAACATTTTTCTTCTATTGTGCAAGCTGACAGGCTGCTGTAGTCCATCTGCTTCAAGGCTTTACATGTTATACATTCAGAAATTATTTGAGTTACTCTTGCCTTCCTGTCAAGTTGTAGTAGCATCATCATTCTCCACTGACCTCATACATCAATGAGGCATTATCATCCACAGAACTGCAGCTCACTGGATATTTTCTCTTTTTCAGACCATTCTCTATAAATCCTAGAGATGGTTGTGTGGAAAATTCCAGTAGATCACCAGTTCTGAAATATTCAGACTATATACACTACCGGCCAAAAGTTTTAGAATACCCCAATTTTTCAAGTTCTTTATTGCAATTAAATTTGTTCAAGTCCAATATATAGCTTGAAATGGTACAAAGGCAAGTAATGAACTGCCAGAGGTTAGAAAAAATGTAAGGTTAACCAAAACTGAAAAATAATAAACATTTCAGAATTATACAAACAGGCTTTTTTCAACGAAGACAAAATGAGTCAACAATTTAAAGCTGTTCTGCAGCAATGGAGGTTGACCCAGCCTTGAAAGCTACTACTAATTCCTACAGGTGTTCCAACTTTTCTGCATTACTTACAACCCTTTCTGTCTCAGTGTTGCAATACACTGTGGTACCTACCAACTGAGCATCCGTTGAACAGTATTGTACTGCAGAAAGTAGTGTGTTGCTAAAGAAAATGGCAAGAAAAAGGCAATAAACAATGGAAGAGAGACAGGCCATCATAACACATAAAAATGTAAATTTTCCTACAGAAAATTGCAAAAAAAAAGTCAAAATGTCAGTTAGTGGCTATCCATTTAACCATTTGCACTTGCTTATCCAGTTTAGGGTTGGGGGTGGTCTAGAGGCAAGGTACAACCTGGGCAGATTAACAGTCTGTCCCACAGTAGTGGCTATAGCTGTCAAAAATGGTATTGAGCATTTTTCTGAGTTTCTGCATCAACTTGTAAATTCTAACATTGTAACATTTGGGATTTTTGTATGCTTTTGTAGCTTTGTTGTTTGCTGTGGACTTGCTCAACCTGCTGAATTAAAGTTTTGTTCTGTTTAACCTGTCTACCTTCTTTGTCTGTGATTCATGACAATAAGTTGACACAAGTTGTATTCATATCATCATGATTCATGCTTAATAAAACAAGCAAGTAAGACCTATTCAGTTTGAAAAAACAGGCAATAATATTCACATGACGGCACAATTAATGTTTTGATGCTGAAACCTGCAAATTTCTCTTACTGTCACTCTTACCCAGCTATTTTGTCTACTAAGCAGTTTATAATTTGACGTCTCAGTTGCTAAATTTTTGGATTTCTTCCTCTTCGTTAGGGTTCATTTCTCAGAGTTCCACTACCCACTTCCTCTTAACTAGGGCCTCTAAACAGTGTTTCAATTTTTAATTAGCCACTATGCTGTAGAAGATAAATAACTGTAATTGGCTGTGTCTGTGAAGGTTCTTAGTCATCCAGGTCATCGTAGTCTAAGGAGCTTGGAAAGAAAAGCGTCTGGACTTCTTTGAGTTGCTTGAAGACATTTCACCTCTCATCCAAGAAGCTTCTTCAGTTCTAAGGTCAAATGGTGGAGAGTCCCAGATTTAAACCCAGTGGGAGTTTCCCCCCAAAAGAGGGACAAAGGACCCCCTGATGATCCTCTACCTAATCACATGAGCCAAGGTGTGAAAGCAGGTGTGGGTCCCAATCAGCGAGGGTTTCGGGTGAGCTCATTGTGAAAACCGGAACCCACCCTATCATGTGATTTCCTGAGGTCAGATGGCCCAGGATTTGAGTGGGCGTTAAGGCGTCTGGGAAGGGATCTCAAAACTGGATTATAGATGGCAGACAGATGGTGTCGTAAACCACCGCCTCTGTTCAAAGATGGTTGCTCACAGTGGAAGTGGGACTCTCCACCATTTGACCCTTAGAACTGAAGAAGCTTCTCGGATGAGAGGCGAAACGTCTTCAAGCAACTCAAAGAAGTCCAGACGCTTTTCTTTCCAAGCTCCTTAGACTGTAATTGGCTGTCATCAGATATGTGTGCTTAAATTACCATTTCAAAAGAAACAATAATCTATTACCTTAATAAAACCACTCTCCAGCCATGCAGACAATTCCTCTACTCTCTTTGCAAGCCAAGGCTTACATTGTGTGTTTTCTCCTCAACGTAACACTGATTTATCAGCTATACTCAATGTTGAGTTTTAATAATAATAAAGCTTTAATTGTATTGCACGTATCAAAACTGTTAATGTAAAGTGTATAAGAAAAGCACATGTACATCCATCATATAGGTAGGGGGCAAAGACTAAACAGGATAAATGATAAAAACCGGTGCATCAGTTTAACAGAACCAGTGCATCCATGGAAAGTCCACTGAGTTCTTTCAAGCATTCACAGAAGGATATCATAACTTCCTCAGTGTGGTTGTTGCAACATAATTGTAACTGTAATTCTAGCACTTCCTGTTTCACACACTGATTTGTTTATTACTCAGTTTCAATCACGTAGTAATTTGTGTAATACTGGAAGTTGACAAGGCCCTCCTTGTTCCTCTGAGACAGAACAAATAATACTCTTAGGACTGGTGGTCAACAGTCATTCACACAAGCCTTAAACACTTTGCAAGAAATGCATGTATAAAGTTTTCTAATACAAATTGCAGGAATACTAACAATGAGGATAACTTGTAAAATCTTTGTGATCCTCATCCAAACATTTTATTGTTTGGCTTCAGATGGTACAGTAATCCAACTTTTAATTTTAATCTTTTGTCAGATTTTATTGATTTCCTCTGCTCTGTGTTTTTAAAACGAGCATGTTTATCCTGTAAATTTATGTCAGCATATCATTTGGCTCTTCTTGTCAGCAAGAAGAGTGAAATGATTCAGAGTCAATGAGGCACCAAAAGCAATCCCAGTCATGGAAATGAAGTGAATTTATATCAATTATTTTTCAACAGACTCACCATTTCAGCTAACTAACAGGGGCACTGGTTTTTGTTTGATAAAAACAAATAACCACTGCAATGACATTCGCTGGACAACTGGTGATCGACTACTGGTTCTGCAGAGGAACAAGTGCCTGGGTGTCCAGGGAAAAAATGTGGGCAGTGAAGTAAACCTCTACGATTGCGATGAAGCCAGTGAGCTCCAAAAGTGGGAATGCAAGAACGAAACAGTGCTCGCTCTCAAAGGCCAGGAGCTTTACATTGAGCTCACTGCAGATAACACAGCCATTCTCTCCAGGACAACAGGACCAAATAACCACCTCACAATTTCTGGAACATCCAGTGGTGCCTGCACAAGAACTTATAGAGGTATTGTGCCATGTGAAAAAGAGTATAATGCAATTTTTCTTAGATAAGAGGGTTGTATTAAATGGATGCACAGGTTTCTACCTAGCTTCATGTCTTAAAGCTGTTTGTGATAAATGTGTTTTACAGTCTTTGTTTTGTTCGTTTGTTTATTTGACCTTTTAGAGCTTTTTACCATCGGTGGAAATGCAGCGGGAAGGCCGTGTATGTTTCCCTTTCTATACAAAACTCAGTGGTATTCAGACTGTACTAAATTTGACTCCTCGGAAAAGCGTCTTTGGTGTGCAGTTGAAACAAACTATCAAAGCGAACGCTGGGGGTACTGCCCAACTATGTGTGAGTAATGAAACCAATTGAAGGAAATAATTGAACCATTAGGACCTACAATTATTTTTCAGAGCTCTTACAAGGATTAACTGATTTATTATATACTTTTAACTTAAGTCAACTCCCATAGCTGAACAGAGGCAAAAAAATCAACATTAAGTTAGAGAAGTAAAGTATTACCTTTACTATTGCACCAGTGTTGTTGAAGACCGGGGCCAGAATTGGCCTGGGAAAGACTCCAAAACAACCCACTGGAAGACTCTGGAAAATATGAAGAAGTGCATAGACTTTAAACTTTTAACTGTATTTTGATAAGTTCTGCTGCTTTTCTTATATTCCCAGTTTTCCTTGATCATGACTCAATCACTATTTCTATTCATACTACAACAAAGTAGTTAAATTACAGAAAAACAATTAAATGACAGAAAAGCTGTCGTC